CTATAACACGAGATAGTAGCAATTTAAAATCTTTACAGTCAACGAAATGGTCTGCAGAAAAAAGAGATAATATAAGCAGAGGATTGATCACCATATTGTCTGAATTAAATTATTTAATAAGTTATTAAGAGGAAGTATTAGATAGCATGAAAGTAAATGAAATGGTTGACAGATTCGCACAAATAATAAACGAAGAGGTTAAACCATTGTTCCACACGTAATTAACCATGCGGAACCAAAATATACACTTTGACACTACACAAGTGATGAAAAAGGCAGATGGGTTTGATGATTTGTGCAGAGAATAAAAGTTAAAAGTATTTGGAAGCATTACGAGTATTAAATGAAGTGAATACAAATGAAAATAGACACCAGTTAATGTTAAAAAAGAGACAATATAAATCTTGGATAAAAGTAAAACGCAATAGGTGTTAACGTAAAAGGCCGTGCGATGTCTGGAAATACTTTTCAAAGAATAAAAACACAACTAAACGAAAATCTATGCAGGAATTTTGTGATTATTTCAGGAACTTATCAGATAGCATTAACAACATTTACAATTGATCCAGAAAGTGAGAATTACTGCGATAACCCGTATTGTTATGATGATCTTATTTTCGCGGTAATAGATTCTGTAATTCTGTTTAATTAATAATACTAAAACTTGAGATTTTACCTCAAAGATAATATTGAGTTTATTTGATTCATTTGTTTCCACAATTTTAAGTTACTTTTTTGAAGTCCCCGGATTTACTGAAAACAAAGACATTGAGAGGGTGCATTTTCCAAAGAATTCTAAATGTAAAATTATCGTCCAGTAGTGAAGCTATATAATTATGGATATAAAGGACGATATCCATTGTATGTAAACAGGTGCGTTAAAGTGGTCAAGAATTTGCTTAAGATCATAAATACTAGTAATTGTATAATAACTGTTATTAGAGGATTAAGGTTAGAATAAGATTAACTAGGATTCAGAAGTAAAGAAGTTATTATGTGAACATGGTTTTGGATACGTGTTTGAAACACCGTTAACAGAAAATATATGACCCACTTCATATCTCTGTTCAGACAAAGACTGATTGATACATCCACACACTATTGGAGTATCGATTTAGGAAGCAATCAAATATTACATTTATATAAGCATTTAAAGCACCATTTTGAATATGCGGAGTTCTTGAGTATTTTATTTAGAAAAAATTAAGATATGTTCTTATCAAATTTAGGATATCCAGGATTTAAACCGGACGATATGGTCAGAATAGAATTGAAAGAGGTGAAAAAACATGCAATATATGTCTATCTAGAGACATTCATGTTGAATTTCATATGATATGTGTGTGTATCTGCTACCGACTTATAAGAAAACGTAACATTGATAGATATTATTATGAACGACCATCTGTGTTTAGTTTAAACTTACCCAGCTGCATTCAACATCAAATGACAAATGGAAAAAATGTTAAATTTATTGTCTTTTATGTCAAGAATTTCATTTAAATGATACTGATATATATTCTATACCTTCTTTGTCATATATACACCAGTTACTGTTATTCTCAATATTGTATTACATCATTATCTCGTTTGACTTTGACACAGTTTTTATATATAATCATGTTAAAGATGTTATGGATTTAATAAAGCTTAATTTAATTTAATAAACATAAGTTTCTCCATTAGTAACTCATTTGACCATCATCAAGATAGCCATTACACGATACCCTCCAAATTACATCATTGATAACATTATTAAAAGTGTATTTGGTTCAATGTTGCAGTCCCGTTTTTTAATACCTTAACATAAACGTATGTTGAGAAGTAGATATTATCTTGTGTTCCATTTATTAGTAGCTTCAGAACTTTACGGAATTTATATCTTATAATTACCCGTCTTGATAATTCATGAAGAAGATAAGAATAGAACCATATTACCACAGGATTCCATATATAGTTACAATTTGGGGAATATTTCACAAAATTTATTGGCTCCGTTTTTGGAAACACGATCCAATCCAATCCAGTCACATAAATAATATTTGTAAGAACCGCTAAAAAGGCGAAGTCTCAATATTTCACAGAAATGCACATCATTAATATTTTTTATAAATATTTGTTTATTAAGGTAACTAAATTGTTTTTGCTTTGGTGTTTGTTTCTTTCTTAATGCTATAGATTTACATTATGTTTCAAAAGGACATCACAAAGGCATGTGCAACCATATCCATTCATTTGACATCTTTAAATATATTACGACTTAAATGCCTACCTATTGTGTAGTTTGTCGGAATTTGTATCCATTTATCCATTTGCGACGTCATGAACGTCATTTATTGTATATTATTAGCGGCGTCGGGTCGCGTATCCCTTGTCTTTTTAAGTTTTCACATAGTTGTTATCTGTAAACATATTGCATGAATTTTGCCATGTATGTAGAGGATATTTAGATATTTATCTCTTGTATAACTGTGTTCGTAGAATAAACAAGAAGAATCTTTAAACAAAGATACTCGTTTGAAGTAAAACTGGTTAATATTTATATGTTAGTTCTTACTTTTCCATGCAAAGATATATAGAAATGTTAGCATAGCTTGCACAACAATGACAAAGTAATTTTCTTGTAGGCTTATTAATCTTGAAAAATGGAACATTTTAAGATGTATGTGTTTCTAAACGAGCCTATCGTGTTTCGGTATCTAACGCCAACAACTACGCAGCTGTCTGAACTATCCTATACAGTTGAAAGACTATCCTGTACATTATATTTTAAACATCCTTAACCATCTTTACATTTTGTTTTAGAATGGCAATTAGATTACCAGATTTCATTTTGTAATTCTAAAATGACCAAAAGAAAGCTCTTCTTATACCGGTATTCAAAGTCAATCTGATGTTAGACCGCTTTCGGCCAGAATAAATGTGGACAGTACTAATAGAGCTGCAGTCCTTTTACTTTTTTACAAACCCCGTATCAAAAAAGAATAACACTTTCATTTTAATATCATAAGGTTCATACTAACAAAGATTACGAAACACATTGCTAAACACAAAATCAAGCCAAATTTTTTTTTTTTTATCAAATGTAGTAATAAAGAAATGATAAAATGCCGTAATAAGAGACATGTTTTACAACACCTGCGGCGTTCTAAGGTAAAGCTAGAATAAGGAAAACCCGTAAATCAAGAACAGTGACTTTCAAACCTAATTGTACGAACATATACAAATGTATACAACGATGACTAAAACAATTAGAGCAAAAACAAAAAGCAAAATATAGCCGAATGTTATCACATTTCAAAATTGTCATCTAAAATCTGAGAGATTGATCTGCTTTGATAACATTTACTCACCTTTTACACACGTTAAGAAAATAAAACAAACAAAACTGGAACCATATGTTTAACATGTTATCTATGACTCAGTTATTAATGTGACATATATGGATGAAAGATGTGAAATATGCGATAGGTATGTGTTGGTATGTATTGTCTTTGTAACAACATAAATATATTTGCAACATTTTCATTAAAAAGTTTAAGTATATTCCATGATCTTGTTATTCAATCAAATATTCAACGTGACGGAGTGACAATTTTAATAAACACGGCTCTTCATACTGTTGAACAGTTGTTTCATTTTATAATTATATATTTATAAATTACATTTATTATTTTAACCTATCTGGTGGACATTTAAGCTTGTGTGTTGTCTATTTAAAAGTTAAGGCATTTCACTTAGTATTGTTTAAAGTTTTATTGACCTTTTAAAGATAAGGTATACATGTAAAATGAAAAAAGTCAATGTTTATTTGTAAGCTATACTCATAACTGTGTCATTCTAGTTGATGCTGTATTCTCACTCTGACAACTGTATCAATCAGAAAAGCACACGCGAATTTATATTTTTAATTTGCTTTTCAAAACTATGTTTTCTGTTATAGTTTAGCAATTTTACATACTTATTGTCTAAGAATGTCTTTTAATCACATTAATTAATGAAGGAGTCAATTTATGTTACATTCAGTGAAATTATTTCGTTTATTGATTAACACAGAGTGTTATTTACAAGGAACTAAGAATTACTAATAATCCGATCGTTTGTATAAAGAAACCGTGTCAGGTCAAAAAGGGTAACAAACACTAGAAAAAGGAAAATCACTTTAAAGCAATGAGAACAAAACATTTTGTTGACAATTCTAAGCTTGATTCTATTGCGTCTATTAATACACTGCAATGTCCTTCATTCCTTCCTATTGGCACCGTCATAAAATATGATAAACAAGATCAACAAGGAAAGGCGGCGTTCAATGAAAGCAACCCCCATATGACCCAGCAAGTCATAATATGATAAGTCATATTCAATGATTAAGAATTAAAAAGAGTTTATAATGTGTCTTACCATATGAATATTCATGAAATTTCAAAATAAACTAGTTTATGATACAGTGTTTATTTTTATTTGAACGATACACTGTTTGCACTAAAACTTCAATACACAACTTTCATATTTAATACAAAAATTTCTTACAATTAAAAACCGGAATGCAGTGGCATGCATATTCACTGCCGTCCATTTACGGGCTCAATAAATTAAAAGATTGTATAAAGAGTTCCCATATATAGGCCAGGCATTTTAGCCAAAAAATAGACTCAACCTAAAACAAATTCCTTCATAAAAGATAATTTCATATTTGTAATCTACAATATATGTGTTACTACAGAAAAAAAGTCCTCAAAAAAATTTGAAGTATAAGTTGCTCAAAATGCCATGTTTTTAAACCATATAATTTTTCAATTTGTGAAATCTATGAAATAAGACTTAGTAGTTTTATGGATATTGTGGTCATTTATAGTTAAATAAAGTAACACATTTGTACACGTACATGATTTTATTTAAAATAAAACATTTAAAATAAAGTTAATAATATTACAAAATTTGCAACAATGAATAAATCATATATTTGTCATTCAGACTAGTATAAAGTAATACCCCACCCACTAATGATAAAACTATTTTTTTAAGATTTTTGTAAGGTACCATGAAATAATCTATAAATAAGCAGTATAATTCACCAAGATGTCTGAAACATTCTTCAATGATTCTATAGTTAATAATTTCAATATATTATACATGTGTGAAACAACAGGTCTGTTTTGTTGCTATTTTTTTACAAAATGCATTTACGTACTCATATGCCGATATATCACTATTCCTTTTTAATAACATTTTAAATAGTGCACATTAATAACTTTTAAATGTACAAACATTCATTACAACACACATTTATAACTTTTAAATGTACAAATATTCATTACAACACATTACAACAATCATTACATTATAGAAGTGATACATTAAGATGATTACCAACTCTTTTTTCCCTAATATAGTCAAAATTGTACAGTGCATAAAATGTGACTGGAAATGCATAAAATGTGACTGAAAAAAGCAAAATATACAACTGTTGTTAATACTTGTCTAGTATTCCTAATCGGAAATGCCTGATTTATTCACTCAGATTACTCAGAATTCATCTAAGTCTCTTCCGTAGTCTGACTTTCGTAGTCAATAGTATGCGAATTACTACAGCCAGTACCCTGGCATTCTGAACAACACATAGAGCATGATAGTCCATGTTTTCTGCATGTGCACCTTTTAGTATCACAGTTGACCCTGCATGAACATCTTATAACTTTTAGAAGTCTTTCTGGAGCAACAGGCATTAATGTTTGGATAGGAATCAGTCTTGAATCCAAGCTATTCTTAGCCCATCCCCAAAACAAAACACTTAGGTCTCTTCCGATCCAATTCTGAACTTGCAAGTAAACTCGAAAACTATGGAACTTTGCGGCTGCTTTTGTAGGTGGCAATGTTTGAACTTGAACCACAGTGTTTCCAGTGTTTGCTTTATGAATAAATTTTTTATACCTGAGGGTATCTAATCCTTCACCAAATATTCCGTTATATATACATATCAATGCTTGTTCTCCAGCTGCTTCTATTTCATCATGGGTAGAATTAGCATGAAATATATCTGCTTGCCTTTGGAAATGAGCATCAGTGATTGCTTTTTTCAACACCACACTTTTTCCAATGCCGTACAACCTCGAAGTGGTATCGCACCCAGAAAAAGCATGAATAAAGAGTAAACGTTTGCACGTATCACTACCAAGGACTGCTTTTGTTTTCTTGATGTCCCAAATCTTCTTCTTCTTAATGTTGGTCTTCGTGTCGGATCTGTAAAATATGTTTTCTTTGGAAGTATTAGCATGATAGCATAGCAGAACCAATATATCTGTATCTTCACCTATAACTACTGTCGTTTTGTCATTTGCTTTCATAATTGCAGTCTGAACGATTTGAAGATCTGCATCCTCTGAGGCATTTGATACATGACATTTCCTGTCTGTTAGATACGTCCCTAATAAGTTGATGAAATTCTGTTTGTTTTCATAATTAGAGAGGAATACTTCTTTTTTGGTTTTGAAAGGTGTTCTTGCATCAAAGTTGACCTTTGTGCCAATTACTCCTTTTCTCCGGCGTTCATGTGTCACATCTTTAGTAGAAGGACCGTTTACGTAGCCATCAAATACAATGTAAGCACAGCCATAATGTAGCTGCACCATTGTTGCATATTGATTACAAATATCATGGAAAGTCGATCCATATCTCCAAGGTAACCTCTGTACTAACGACCCTCCGTCCAGGACGTAACATACATCGTCATTTGGCACTTGTGTTGCTCCGCATTGTCCGAGTTCCCAAATTGCGTTAGCCAACGCTGGCTTTTGTGCCTCTCGCAATAGACCGGATGAGTCAAATAGTGAAGAAGGATGACCACAAAGCTCATAGGAAAATACTTCTTCAATTCTGTCCACTGAATCATCAGCAACTGTCAATAACCGCTGGAATAATAATTGTGGGTCAACATGTATATCTTCTCCACCAACTTTTATACTGTTTTTTGTACCAAGTGTAATGGCCTGTCGGTTTCTTTTGAAGGTATATTCTTGAACATTCTTTCCTGTCATTTCTTCTAAAATCCTTTGCCCAATATCTACGGCTCGGTCGACATTAACACTAGCCTCAGCAACAGCTCCAGTTTCAATATTTCGTAAACACTGTTGATTCGAAAAAGGGTTGCGTTCTTTTAGAAATTCTAAGAATATTCTTCTATCCTTTTCATCTCTGCTTATCCTAGCTTCAGTACAATCTTTATGTTGTTCATTGCTTTCATACTTTTGCCCCGTGAAGTCTTGCATTGCGTTGTTGATGTCAGCACACGCAGGCATTGAAAGGAGCCACTGTGCTCTCTGAGCCTCTGTCATACCTCGACCTCTCGTCATACCTCCAACTGACTTAACACTCCTCATCAGTACTTGTTCAATAATAAGGTCTGACGATAATCCTGCCCAGTATCTATCACTTCGTCTAATCACATGGTGTCCTTCACAAAAGGCTTGATATACATTTGGATGTGTATCTTTCAGGTCAAACATATCTTGAAGGTACACGTATCCAGATTTCAGGTACAAATTATGTCCTGATGCAGCAAAGAAGGGTAACATTTTCTGCATCGATTCACAGTGGTTATTCCATAAACCCATTCTTTCTGCAGCTATAAATTTCTTTAAAATGGCAATCATATCCATATATTGTAACCATAGCCTTGCAGTTCTGTTTTCAATAGCAAGCCTACATTTGGCATTTTTAAACATTTGGTTCATCTCCAAAACAGTTGTGTCCACACTTATTTCTTCCAGATTTATCTGATTGGCTAAGATACCTTCAAAGATATTTGTTACATGCTTAGTGTCACCTACTTGGATATTTTTGTATTCAGGGTCAGCTGTTACACATTCATCATTATTGTTTAGGTCAGTATCTGTTATTAACAGTGTTGGAAAGATTTTCTCTACCAGTATGATATTCAAAGCATCATCAACAAGAAAGTGTCCTCTGATTGCTCTACTAACTGCCTTTCCACTTAGCATGTTTCCCACCGTGTTAGGAGCATAGACTGTTGCTAATAGCTCAGCTAGTCCTGTGTTTTCCATTAGTCGGCCTATACTCCCAAGAAAGCTCATTTGTGTATGGAAAGCCCCAAGTCTCACAATAACATGTTTAATGTCACTTCCTTCAGGCTCGTTCGTGATGATATTCAACGCCTTCCAATACAATGGCTGGTCAAATGTAACTATAGGTGCTGAATTAACACGGCTACTCTGCAATGCCACAAATTTCAAAGTTGAATAGACACATGCCATGTCACTTGGATTGAGATCTATCATAGGCATCATCACAACACTTGATTGACCCGGATATGACCCTGTTCTTACCATCTGCATAAGTCCTGACCAGCTAGGTGCTTGCATTTTTAGAGGACGTGCAACTTTTATCACAAAATCAAGAGGCTCAAACGGTTCATTTATTATTTCGGCCATCTTTTTAAACACCATTCTTTCCATATTGTTACTTTGCTGCCTGTAGAAATGAATATTAATTTTTCCTATTTCAACAAGATCATCATTTGTAATCAGACATCTTGGAATAATTTTTTTCTGTTCTAACTTTGGGGTAACTGCAGCCACGATACCCATCCCATGAAATGTCCCATGTCCGTCAAGTGTTCCAGTGTTATGGTCAACGTTGTCTGCGACAAACTGTATAAACTGATCGTTCATTTTATCTATTTGTGTTCCATGAGATGAAGCTGAAGACCGTTCAAATCTTTGAACTTCTTGATAGGTAGAACAGAAACCAAGACTACTCAACGTGTCAATCAAAAATCGTGAACCAAACTGGTGGTGCATTTGTACTCCTAATCCAATCTGGAGGGGACAAATAATTCCACGGGGTCTTGACGATTGAACAATTGCCTGTCCTATTGATAACGTCTTTAACTCATATGATTTATTATCAATGATAAGCTTTAAAAACAACTCCAGACTATTTGGAACATACTGTCTGTTTTTGTCCTTGCTCATTATATCGGATGAAGTTGGATATTCTTCAATACTCTTTTCTATTGATTTTATGTCATTAAGAATAAGCTTAGCAGCCGTTTCTATAATCGCCCTTGTTTCTGACTCACAGTCATGGTTCTCGTTTCTGTGATAGAAAGAATGAAGAATACCATGAGCGTTACTTTTAAATGTCACAACATTTGGTTTCCCATTTAATTCAGATATCATGATACTATCTCCAAAATGTTCTAGAAGTTTCTTCTTCATGTAAACGCTACTATAGGCCTCTGTACCACAAAGTTTTTCCATCTCATTAACAAGGTCAGACAAAGACATTTGTTCATTAGCATTACTCTCAAAATATTTGATAACTTCAGAAAATGCATTATCAGCAAGTACATTTGTAGGTCTACCTTTCTTACATTTGCTTGGTTCTAGAAGCTCCTGCTTACATACAGGAATATTACATCCTGACCTAAAATTAGCACAACATGTCTGATGGTACCTTGCCTCAACAGCCGGGAGATCCTGTGCAAACTCAATGCGCCCCAATACAATTTTACCCCACTCATCACATCGTTTTTTACAAATATCTTTAATACTAGACTGAAATTCTAAAGTTCTAACAGGAAACACACCATAACCCTTTTTACGGTCTTTGAACTTTGCATTGCTGCCACAAAACAAACAGTTAGTTTGAAAGTCAAAGCGACTTTTACAAGATTGTCTTGTACTTGGGCTTGATATCTGAGTTTCGTTGCATTGTACGGTTCGCTGACTGTTCGGGTGGCAATATTTTCTTCTGCATTCTTGATGTACAACCATCCCAGGAACTACGTTTAGCTCATCTCCTGAAGATAAGATATAAAGGAATCCTCTAAACTAAAAGAAACAGTATTTAGTATTGCGATATTTACTATTTCTAAATATCAACCATTAAATCAGTATCATTGCATCCTTTGTTTGGTAAATATTTGCAAGCTGTTGTCTCGTTTTGGAAAATTTACTACACATATTTATTTAGATACTATTGAATTACATATAACATGTGCAAATGACTCATACATTTCTGTCTTATATTCATATATTATTTAGAAAAATGAAAATTAGTGATCAACCATAAACACAAGCTTAATCGGACTGAGCCTGCAACAGAGTGTTTGTCCCCATGTTATGCATCCCGTTGTTTCTCTAATTAGTTCGTATTTTTCAGTTCAGTTACCTCTCAGTTTACTTGCTGTCATTAACCCTTCACACCCTTTCTCCCTCAGTGTTGATGTTTCGCCACCATCTGCCTTGTTACAAAGGACACAAAGAACTGTCCCTTCAATGCTGAAATAATAACAGTGCAAAAGGTTAATTTACTCAAGGCAGACATTAAACGAAAATAATCAGCTTTGACACTGAAAGGGGTACAATGATTTGATATTAAACAAGTTTTCAAATATCAAAAATAATGCATTATTATATATTTTGGAGATTTAAAATAATGTTTTAAAATAAAATACCAAACAACTATTTTCTTACCTCATTTTACGTACTCTTGGTTAATGTCACATTCACATCATTAACATATGCAGGTATGACTGATAACTGAAATATAAAGTTAAATGTATTGACTATAATAATTTTTTGTATGTACTATCCACAACATTTTTATCAATCGCATTTGAGAATGTTCAAATATTACCTCGTTTGATACAATAAAAATAAAAAATTGCAAATCGATATCAACATAATGTTCCTATAATATGAACTTTTAAAAAAAAGCATAAAAAAGAATGAATAATATAGAATCAATTACCATCAAATATATAACTTGCAATTTTCTTCTTCTTAGTTTACCATTTTAGCTTGATTAGCACCATGCATGCTCACGTTATCTGTTTTATGCTGAAATATAAACATGATGTCTAAAAGACAACCCTAAGTTATTACAAAATACATTTTTCACAAGAAGTAAACATTTTAAATAATTTATTTTGCCTTATCTACAATTATAACGTGTCAACTCCTTGAAATATGAGAAAAAAATAAAAAAAATAAAAAAACAACACTTTTCGTGATTTTGACCACAACGCGCTTCCGTACAATAAAAAATTCGAGAAGGGTTATATATATACAAATTTCTATATAAATCGGCAATATTTTAAGCAAATTCCTATGTGATTTTAAATAACTCTTCGATAGAAAACATTCTCCAACAATAATCAAATGATAAATAAATGTTTAATACTTATTTAAACAAAAATTCAGATTAAAATCGCGAAATTGTATGACACGTTTTGTCATGTGCAAAATCGCTCCGATGTAATGCAATTATTTTCGTATATAAACATCATTTTCCGCTGAAAATATACATATTTGACTATAAAAATGACTAAAATTTCTTACCTTTGCATGAGAAAGCCTGGAATTGTAGTTATTTCTGATATTTTACCGAAAACATAAACAACCTTGAACGTTGACATCGACACCGGTAACGACCGGAAGTACATAGAATAAAAATATGGTGTACTGTAAGAGACACGATTTAGTTGTGACTTTTACTTAACTTTGAGATTGATTTTCAAGGACTGTGCAAGGAATTTTTTTGAGGACTTTTTTCTCAAAATGTAGATACCATATATAATTAATTTAAGCACAAAAACATTTGTGAAGGAATTAGTTTTACCAGAATTGTTATTATGACTGGCCTAATAAATTTCTGGTGATAAATGTTTCAAAGATAATCTATTCACACATAAACTATAGGATCAGGAAATTTTCCATTGTAATGACGTTACAATGAACTGAGAAAAAGAGTTGTTAAGCCTACCTTCTCGTTGTGATAAAATTATTAACCGAGCAGATAAACATAAGATCTTATAAAATGGATAAAATGCACATTATTTCAAAAGGTCACCATTTTTTTTCTCTGTGGTTAAAAGCATATGTGTAATCTATAATGAGAGATATTATAGTGTCTGTCTTATGATCTATGCATAATATTGTATTATGTTTAATATTTGGGTGATGTTTTTGAAAATGAAAGAAAAGTATGTACAATTCTGAAAATAAGACAAATCGTTAAGTTTTTCACTCTTTAAACAAGTTCCGCAAAATTAATTCCAATTAATTTGCCTTACGACGTAAACTCGTTTAACATTTCAAACTAGCATCAGTTTTGAATCCCATTGTAATAAAATATGATGACTATAAGTTGTTTATCATAATTATTGCTTATGTTATTATTTGATTCAGTATAATAAATGGTTAAACGCTGAGCAACTGTTATCTTTATAATATCTTACTTATCTTATTGAGCTTCTTATTAGTTATCTTTCTCGAAATAAACCCTTCATTACCTTAAAATATCACATTTTTATTGAAATACAACCTTCGCCACTTGATTTTCTGATTGCAACCATTTATTTTACATATTTGTCATGCAATGAATAAATAATACATAAGCATAATAAAATATATAAGAAAGCAATTTTCCTTTCTTGTATGATATCCCAGCAAACATGCATATATGGGACCCATATGGGCTATATCTAGGCAAGCCCATATGGGTATGCCCATATTGGACCTATATGGGACCAATATGGGCAAGTCCATTTGGGTACGCCCATATTGGACCCATATGGGTCCCATATTACAGCACTATAAGGAAAAACGATTTTTCGTTTATTTATTTCTTTAGAACTTGTTTACTTTGAGCTATAGTGTGACCACCTTGGCATAAATTGCTATTATCTTTTATAAAAATCGTAGCATTAACATTTATACAAGCCATGAGGGACCCATATGGGTCCCATTTGGGCAACCCAATAAAATATTAGCATGCCTGAGCAGGTGCGAGAAATTAATTTGTTTAGTTTTTATATTGGTTTTAATTTTTATAATCTAAATATTAAAATGTGTTTTTAGACTATTTTAATTCAGAAATAATTTATTAAAATCAGCATTTGATGAAAAATTTATTTCGAGCATGCGCAGACGTGATTTCCGCTGCCGCTTAAAATCAAATTGTGTATTGAAACGTTAAATTGTAAAATTGTACACGAAAACAATATTTCATTTCAATTCGGAACATTTAACGACAATTTCGTATAACGAACTTTCATATTATATCCTTACACATTTATTGTGTGTGTAGGTAAGTGTAAACGTCATTTATTTTTTGTTTTTGCCTTTGCCATGTAATTTCGCGATAGTTTTTGTCAGTTTAATTTGCGACATTTTCTAGAATTTACGCCCACTATTAGGCACTTTAGCTGACCTTATGGATGTGTATAGTTGTTATTGTTGAATAACTTAACTGTGACGGAGTCGACACTAACATTTTAATAATATTGTTTCTATCTAGACTAAATTTTACGAGATCCTTTTTTAAAGGGACACCATCATTTGAAATCCAGTGACCCCTCCTAGCCTTAGAAGTCCCTTCCATTTTGTACCAATATTTCATTCATAAGCATTTTAAAATATTAAATGCAAATACTTATTATTACAAATTCAAGTATTTTTTCCAAGTACCAACCAAGCCCTATGTTGCACATGCACGAGTACCGGACCTGGGAAGAAAAAATATGACTCGATAGATAATTAAACTTGTGTTCATCTTTAAAAAGTCAAAACCGAAAAAAATTGTAAATTATACCCCCTTTAAAAACATACTTTAAGTTAAGAGAAGGCCAGAAACTCCAGATTCGAGACTGCAAGCAAGGGATTCACTTCCCGGGCCGTTGTGAAAACAATTGTCCAGACAATAAAAAAAAAGTGAAAACAATTGTCCAGACAATTAAAAAAATCTTTTATCACTTTCACGTTTGTATTAAGCTTCCAAATGGGACCGACCCCAAGTCTTTAGCCCTTCCCGTTCATGAAATATCTATCGGGGAAACAAACGCATTCGTGCTAAAAATCCTTGGTAGACAAAATTGCGGCACAACAATTCGGTACGTAAAAATAGACTAGTACATTTTTGCCAGCCGATTACGAGTCATAATCTTATTGTCACTTGGCGCAATAACTCACTTAATGTCTATGTATTTTATAATTACTAATTTACTTATTAATGTATTTTCATTTTATTGTAAATAGGCCATCAAAAAGGCTGTATGAATCGTATAGTGGCACTGATGAGAATGAGACCATGACACCAGAGAGTAGGCCACCAGCAAGTTATTGACCAAGCAACAACGCCCAAAGAGTCACAAGCCTACTTTCATCTCCGCCTCGCGCTATCTTGCATCAGGCATTGCGAGTAGGCCCAGCAGTGATGTGCAATAGTGCTTCTCCAAACAAGGTGCTTCTGATATACCCTTCCATGGGCAGATTATTGGGCCTCAGTAAGTATAAACTTCGGGAGCTATAAATGTATATTTATAGTTATTACATATACATACATTATTATAATGTTATATTCTCAAAACAAGTCAATAAATGTTATAACTAGCTGTGATTGAGTGACACAGCCCAAAATATGGAAAGTTCATCCTTGCTGACGCCCTAGTTAAAAAAAATATTCAAAAGAAATTGATGATTACTTGTGTTAGTCTTTATCATGATGTGAATTTGTGCGCATATTCTTGCCTGACCCCACTACTGTTATCCAAAGTTACGGTCCCTGGAAGAGTCAAGAATGTTTATTTTCACCAAAATGACATGCCTAGGCTCAAAAATATGTTAAGTTTAATTCATGATTTCTTATCATTTTCACATTTTGTGACCTTGCACACTCAACAATCCTTTTGAGATTTTAGCGTTAATTACTGTTAAAGCCAAGGAAAAATTTAAAATACTGGATTTTTTTTCATTTGAGCCGGGTCATGACAAAACCAACATAATGGGTTTGCGACCAGCATGGATCCAGACCAGCCTGCGCATCTGCGCAGTCTGATCAGGATCCATGCTGTTCGCTATCAGTTTCTCTACTTGTTATAGGGTTTGTAAGCGAACAGCATGGATCCTGATCAGACTGCATGGATGCGCAGGCTGGTCTGGATCCATGCTGATCGCAAACGCATTATGTTGGTTTTGTCGTGACATGGCTCATTTGTCATTCACATAGCTCTAAAAGTATATGGCCTAGAATTATGAATCCTTTTTTTCAGCTGCTGTTACACAGATTCTCCGAGTCTTGGAGACAATGCGAGAGAAGAATCGTGAAATTAAGAGGATGGTGCAGCGAATGCTGTTAAGGTCAGCAGCAGATGACCAACCGCTGCAACTTCCGAAAGATATCTCATTCCCTATTCGTTATCCTGAGCAGATGGAAGCATTCAATGAGCTTCTGGGAGATCAGACTATGCTCTCATCTGTGGTAAGCATAGTGTTAGTCATGTATGTTGCTCCATTAGTAACTGAAAAAAGTATACCCCATATCCACTGGCCTAAAAGCGAAATAACATAATGGTCTGTGGTGAGCACTTGATGATAATGTATAATCATTCTGCTATATTTATGTTGGAAAATATTGCACAGTGGACAAACACTTTGCTGCATTAATTTCAGAATTAAAAACTGGCATGTTTTTAATTTTTTGATTCATATTGACACAGTTATGTTATCTATATATGCTATAATAGCCATGAGCACAAGACATGGGCAGTTGGCCTCGTTTTCAACATTAATTATTAATTAGGACAAGACAGTCAATTCATTAATCAAAATGCTGGCAGCTTTCAAAATACCAGGAAAATCACTAGTACCCACAAAATCCAGGAATTTAGCTGTTATTATATTATCAAAAATTATTCTGTTGATATTGAATAAACTCTTGTATAAAAAAAACAATGATAATGTGCCCCATAACACTCGGTGAAGGGGACAAACATAAAGGCACAAGTCACTAAGGTGTTGTCCTAGGCTGTAAATATATGAGGAAAGATCTTTTAATTTGTCAATCCAAACAGTTTTCTTGGCAGATCATGTTTTTGAGGTCCAGTTGACAATTATTTGTCATTTGGTGACTTGCAGCCCATCACTTAGTAGTGTTAAAATTAACATTAAAAAAAGTTTATGTTCTGCTTTATTTAAGGTGCGGTTCCTCTCAATGTTTGGTATGGCAGATGTACGGGAAACTGTTGACCGCTTGATGAAAGAAACCATGTCAAATGAACTGGCAAGAATGTTCAATATGAAGTGGCTGAAGGGGAAGAAAAAGTTTGTGGGCCTCTAGATACTGATAGTATTGTATAGTAAGTGATTTTTTACAAATTTGCAAAGTGGTGTCTTCAAAATAGATATATTTATCCAAGATCTTGTTATTGTGTCTTCGGGTATTGCTTTAATGAAGGAAAATGCTTGGCTAGCTTTTATGGAAATTAATAAGAGAGAATATTTTACATGCTGTGTGGTTTTGATCCCATGCATTGTGTTGTGATGCATAATATAAACAGAAATCACCTTCCTGTAAAGCAAGTTATTTGCTTACCTTAACATTCTTTACTGATACACCGATAAGATGATCTCAGCTTACAACTGACTGCAGCGATATCACAGAAATATTGTTAAAGGCTATGTAAAACCAGGAAACAAACATCTATATTTGGTAAAACATACCAGAATTAGTTTATATTCCAATTTATACTGCTCAAAATGCTACAAGGTGGCTTATGACCTTTGAATGGTTTCAATACCTTCATTTCACTTCATTTCATTCTTTAAGGATAAGAATGCTTGTTTTGTAGAATGTGTCCAAAGGAACTTGCCGACAAAGGCTGCAACGAGGAAGGATGTTGAAATAGAGGTTTCAAAGTGGCTGGCTAGGGCCCGGGACCGCGATGGGGGAAGGAAAGCAAGGAACAAGGTGTCAGAGACCTTACCTGAAGAAAATGAAGGAAGTGACTAGACATGTTTTTAATTTAAAAATGCAAATTTATAGAGGATATTTGTTTGTTTGTGTGTAAGATGAAATTTTGTATCATCAAGAGAGAGCTTTAAAAACAGTATTCTCATGAGTGGCTATGCGCTCGTGAGAACACTGTTTTTAAAAGTTCCTTCAATGATATAAAATTACATCTTACACAACAAACAATAAAGTGTCTTTTTATTTTATGCTAATGAAATTTCCTCAATATTAACGTTAATATTAATTCTGTTTTCACCACTGTCAACATCAATTTTAGTTGAATTTAAGTCCAATTTCTCATAAATACAGGAAGTCTTGGGCTGAAAATAAGTTTGACAATCAACGTTGAATAGCCATGATATTATTTATTGAATTCAAAAAATTTGAATGATGATAAAATCTTTAAAAAGTAAGTCTCGTCATAGAAAAGTTTTAAATTTTAATCATTTCACTGTGAAATTATCAAAATATTTTTCACGGATACATCAGTAATACACTCAAAAGCATAAAATAAATGACTTTTATTTTAAATTTTCAAACCTTTACTTCATCTGCATATAAGTTATTCCACTGATTGAAAGTCAATATGTATCAAGGTATTTTTAAAATGTGATAAGGGTCAGAACTACAGTAAGCGGCTCATTTGTTTATCTTGTTATACTTTTTGTTGCTAATTTTAATGTTTGAGGTCATCAGCATAGCATGTCTTTCTTGTAAATGCAAAATTCTTGTCTAGTCAAATTTTGCCTTCTAGTCAGTATATTCTGCTGCTATGTTATGTTTGTTGTTGACATTATATGCTGTTTTTCTGTTGTCTATATGCTGTTTCTGTTTTTTTTAATTAAACATTGTTACTGCACGGAGGAAGGTAGTCTAGTACTGGTGTAACTCTCCAGAAACGATGGTTAGGAAACTACCCGCCTATATGACGTAAAAGGCGTAAAATGAAACAAACAAACAAAAAACATTGTTACTATTTAAATCAAGACATTAAATGCTTGGGAATGTTTTTGATACTGATCAATACAATTATAACATCTTGTCAAAACTTGACACTAACAGGGAACACATGTATTGATATGGTATTAACCTTTAAAATAAAGTTGAAATACTTTACAATGATGATTCTTGTAATCTTTATTGTTGTTATTGTTGAAACTTTGAAAATATCGGAGAAATTACTGAAACCAACTATTTTTACTGACAATTTTTTTAATGAATTTCTTCACAACAAATTTGATCTTTGTGTAATATCACATTTTAATTATTATTGATTTTTACAAACTTGTACAAACTATTTTTTACTTTTCATCAGCTGCATATTTTGTTTACATGTCTATAAACAGTATTTCAATGTGCCAAGATTTTGTGTTTTATATTTGTTACTTTTCATTAGCTGCATATTTTGTTTACATGTCTATTAACAGAATTACAACCGTGCCAACCTTTTGTGTATCATATTTGTTACTTTAGCTGCATATTTTGTTAACACGTCTATATAAACAGTATTACAACCGTGCCAACCTTTTTTATATTACTTTTTGTTACTTTTCATTAGCTGCATATTTTGATGACAATTACAACAGTGCCAACCTTTTGTGTATTATATTTGTTACTTTTCATTAGCTGCATATTTTGTCCACAGATCTATAAACAGTATTACAACCGTGCCAAGGTTTTGTTAATTATATTAATTTTTTTTCATCAGCTGCATAATATTTTGTTTACACATCTATGAACAGTATTACAACTGTGCCAAGGTTTTGTTTTATTATATTTGTTACTTTTCACGAGCTGCATAACATTTTTTTCTTCAGCACTACCATACCAAAGTGTAATACATGGTTGTAATGAACAACTTTTTATATTAATTGATGTAGATCTATATCATTTGAAAATGAAAGTAATTGGTAGATAGAAATTTGTAATGAATTACAGTAAATGTATAATACTTTTTCTATGAATTATGTAGAAAGTTAAAAAGACATTTGGGGTCATACTGTTGATTCACTGAAATTTAAACATTATACACATATATTTCTTGGAGTTCCAAAGACCTTCTGTAAAGTTTTACCAGTGTCTAGCATAAGTTTCATTTTTCCTTTTAGTGATCTGTAAGGTATCTAATGTTATAAAACTGCATTTTTAATTATTTTGTTCGTACATTATAAACAGTTTTCCATTACATGTTGCTTATTTTATAGTGTACCAAAGTAATATTTACTACATAGGACTTTTTGAATAATAATTAATATTTCTGTATTTTTGAATTAAAAACTATGTAGTCAAAATGAAATTCTGTGGATTTACAAATATGTACAGTTTACTCAGATTTTTATATTGTACACTTTTCTAAGTTTATTTACATAAGTAAAGGTTTCTTTGTTGACATCAGGCGTCCACAGAATGTATTGAGAATCTGTATATATATGATATACACTTACCATAAGTGAGATTACTAAATAAAGCTACATTGTTAAAGCATATACATTGTGTATTGTTTTCTTGCATGATCATATAGGCTTTGTGCCATAATCTGTCTGTTCCAGGAAACAGAATGAGTTAAAACATCACTTGAATATTTAACGCAAGTACAAGAATCATGCTCTGTAGCAAGCGGTTGCTATCTTAACATCCAGCAAACTTATAATTGAAGTAATTGAAAATAGATCTACCCCGGAATTCAAAATCTACCCATAATGGAAGTATCTGGGCTGCCCATTTGAAACCCATATTTAGTATAAGGGCTGCCCATATGGGGCCCATGTGGGGCCCATATTGTGTACATGGGCTGCCCAGATGGGGCCCATGTGAATCCCATATTGAGTATAAGGGCTGCCCAGATGGGACCCATTTGGAACCCGGTTGCACTTCCTATATGGGGCCCATATGGGCAGCCCAAATGGGACCCATATAGGTGCCCATATGGGCCCCACATGGGTCCCATATAGAATGCTATCTGGGATGCTTCTTAAAATGTCCTAATGTTCAAATATAAATCTTTTAATGAAATATTGTTTTATTGTTTCATGAACATTGCATTAGTAATACTTGAATTCAATGTTTACAACCACATTCCCTGACGATACGATATACATATCTCACTTACACACACTTACACACACGCACACAAAGACAACCTAACATATTCTCTCTCTGACACGAGTTATTTATAATCTCATGGTAGCTTTATATTTTCTGCAGATGTTTGATCATTAACATGGAATCATTTGCAAGCATTTACTTGGGCAACAATAGTAACGTTGCAGGCTCGATTTGATTTAGCTTGTACTTGGTAGCGGTGAATAAATAGATCATATTTGTTTGTTTTTTGTATAAGAAGGAATTGAATTTCATCGAGTGAGCTATTAAAACAGTATTATCACGAGTGGCGTATCCATGAGTGAGAATACTGTTTTTTAAGTTCACGAGATTAAATAAAAAAATAACAAATATACACAACAAACAAACAAATTTTCCTTTTATTTTATGCTTAAAATCCAGTTTAAATGAAATTTCTTTAATATTACCAGGAATTTCAAAATATGTTTTCCACAATAGTAGACGACCTCAATTTTAGACGAATTTCTTATAAATACATGCAGTCTTGAATTCAGAAATCAACTTGAAATGGTGATGATATTAGTTCTTTTATTTAAAAATATTATTGATCGCTTGTTTTGATAATTGAATAAGAAGAAACAATTAAACGACGCCGAGGTTTTTCCGTCGTTTTTGGCGGAATATTATATATAAGACAAGTCTAATACATTTACATGTTTATGCTTGTGAGGTTAGCGGTAGCGGTTAAAGTTGTGTAAATTTAAACATATTGTGTTTGATTCAGAGGGATTTCATTTGGAGTCGTCAGTCATATATTTTTCTATAAGGAAAAATACTTATTTGAGGATTTTTAAAACAGTAAATTAATTTTTACTGTGATTTTATCAAATATAATTTGTACGTATAAATCAGTAATGCACTCAAAACATAGAATAATAAAAAAAAATTGAAAATTGATCGAATGATTTATAAATTATGTTGTTTATTGTTTATGCAATGCTTAAAATTACTTTCAGTATGTTCAATATATTGAAGTTATCAGTTGTAGGTACTTCTTATTCATTTATGATATCAAATCAAAAACGTGTTAAATGTTTAACATGAATGTGATGCCTTGTCAAGATTTTTAAGAAGGGTTTTTTCCTAAAAATAGCTTACTTCAATAAATTGTCGGTTACTTGCAGTTTTATACATTACGACCATACAGACAATATCAAGTAAATAACAATCAAAATGAAGCCTTACAGTGAATGAAACTAAAATGACTGTAGGTCAATAATGTTTAAGTTTCCAATGTATCAAGCTGAATCACATTTTTTAGATAACTTAATTGTATGCTTAGACATTTCGTTGGCCACAATTTATACATTGAAATAATGCATATGAACTAAACAATATTAAATCTATCTAAAATATACTGAAACAGAAATTTTGTTTTGATGAAATATATCTTTGACTATTATTTTCTTCTAAACTTTTCTGCATATTATTTGTCACGTTTTACATAAACCGACATCAGTTTTGAATTTCACGGTTGTAAAATAACTATAAAGATGATTTTAATTTAACAATTTTCCGCATACAAATTGTTGGAATTATGGTTTGTTTGATAACCAGTTACATGTTTAGTGCATGTTAATGCCAAGGTTTATAATGTTGTCTTCGTATTAACGATCTATTCCGTTGTTCTATTCATCAAAGCATTCAACTTACATTATTACTGTGTACCATTAGAGCATCATTTACCAAAATGTTACATTTTTCGTTTAATGCTTGTAATTTATAATCAACTGCAGAATTAGAGTGTTTCAACATAATAAACGGTAGGATATAGATTTGCTCATTAGATCTGAAATTCTTTGTTAAAAAAATGTATTAACACACGTTGTGTACATTCAAAATTACTATAATTTTATTCTGCTAACAACATACAACTTTTTGCGAAACGTAAGATGCATTATCTAACTTTTCTGTATAAACATCTTGAGTTTTGTCGGTGTATCCAAGTACTCTAT